GAAATTATGACTGGTACTGAAAACCTACCCAGCTTCCTGGGGCTAGTGACATTATTGACCTTAGGGGGAAAAAAATCTACTATTTCCACTTTGCTAAGCAAACACAATTCCTTAATACATTCTAAACCTTATCCTTATACCCATATGTATGTTTGTGTTTTAGTCAATGTTGCTGTGAAGAAACACTAAGATCATGGCAACTCTTATAAAGGGTTAAATTAGGGTTGTCTTACAGTAGTACAGAGGTTTAGATCATTGTCATGACATTATGGCAGAAAGCATGGCGGCTTGCAGGCAGACATGGTTCTAGAGAGGTAGCTGAGAGTTCTACATTCAGATGTGAAAGAAGCAGGAAGAGAAAAAGAGACGCTGGACCTGGTTTTAGCATTTGAAATCCCAAAACCCACTCCCAGGAACACACTTCCTCCAACAAGGCCACAGCTACTTCAAAAACTCACACCCCTAATAGTGCCAAGTTCTTGGGAACCAAGTATTCAAGTATATGACCTTATGAGGGTCATTCATATTCAACCCCCCACAATATGACTGCCACACTTTACAATAGAGAACCACCGCAGAAAAGCGCAATTTTGCATAATACAAATAAAAAGTTCAGAAATTCCTGCGCCAATAAATATGTTTACATCACAGTTCCTGTAAATACAGTTCAAGGAATATGATGAAAGAGTAAACACCATGATTATAAGAATCAGAATACCAGGTGAATACCAGAATACTATGGTGAAGCAGGCTCTCCTAGAATTGCCTGCATATGCAAACATGAAACCATGGGAATATCAATGACCTATTAATGTAGAAGGGATGAAATTTTCTGTTTTCTACTGACTCTAAGAAAGCACAAGCCAATATTTCTGCCTCGCTCTCCCTTTTTTCTACTTTCCCTGTCATATCTGAGTCTAGTGACCCGTTTCTCCCCTTTAACTGTTGTGATACCCTCCTTATATTATAAAGTTCTTTATAGGCCAGCAGCTGAATCTAAGTAGCATTTACATCACCTACAGCAACAGTCACACAAACCACTCTACTAGAATAATATTTGATTTTATCTGTATTTGTCCCTTTTTGGACTACATTTACATAGATGACTTTTTTTTCCCCTGGGAACATGAAAACAAATGTCTATTAAGATCAGAAAAGGCATTGATGAAAACCCAAATTAGTAATTTCACTCAAGTGTGGCAAGGTGAGTCAAGGAATTTATTGGATTATTGCTGTGACTTATGCTTATTGTTAACAAAAAAACTAATGGGCAGATAGCAAGACAAAAAGAGATTGGGTGAGACAGCCTGCCACACAGAGAATGATAGAAGGAGGAAGGGTAGAGTCAGGAATGTCAAGGGAGACAAAAGTGACCTGCCAAATGAGCCAGATGTACATAAGATGAAGTAACAAGTCACAAGTCACGTGGCAAAGCATAGATTAAGAATATAGGTTAATTTAAGTTGTAAAGACTAGTGAATAATAAGCCTGAGATATTGGCTGGCCTTTGTAATTAATATAAGCCTCTGAGTGATTATTTGAAAGAGGCTGTGGGACAAAAGAACTGCCTACATAAGGCACCCACCATTTGGATCCACCTAAGACCCGAAAAGGCTTTAGAAAGGTTCTAAATACAAAGAAATGAAGCTGCAGTGAGTTTTCTAGGCTCTCATGATAGCCATATGGTGTATAGACACATCTCTAAACAATTGCCCATGAGATGGAATCAGACACCAACCACCATAAGCTAAGTAGCATGGCAGATTTCTGCAATGTCTCACATGGGCCACAGTACAGAGAGGTGTTTATTGGTCGTTGCCTTATACTTGAGCTGAAAGCATCAACTTGCTGCACAACAGATTTGAGGTTTTTCTCATGCAGACACAAAAGGTTACAGATACACAGTAAGGACATATTAAAATGGGAAAAAAACTCTAAACAGGTTACAGTGTATTCAAAAATTACATTGGGAGAGACAAAAAAAGAGTATATAAAAAAATAATTTAACAGTAAAATAGTAAAGGCCTTTAAAAAATAGAGCCATAAAAACACAATAAGCGGCAAAATGATGGATAATACACAGAGTCTGGATTCTATATGTTATTGTGTTGTCTTTAAATTTTTTGGATACTAAGACACATTGGATTATGGAAACAGCTGGATTAAGTTAACCCATATATTTTAAGAATATTTTGACTTCAAAATTTAAGTCAAAAAATATGTTGCATTTGGGGAAGAGGTTATGCTTTTATTTCCATAAGAAATAAAAGCTTGTGTGTGCATTCATTCCAGTTTAAGAAAAATTAGGATTGATCAAGTAAGACCCCCCCCCCGAAAAATCTCTGATGTGAGCCAATAGCTCGGATGACCCACCATCTCAGAACCCCTCTGTTTCAGTTTCCTCTGAGCTCTACAGCCAAAACATCTTCAAGGCACCTGGTAAAGATGGTCCAACCACATGGACTACTACAACTGGGACTTTATCATTATCCCAGTTTTCTCAAGATTCCCCAAATATTACCAGGACCCCAACTAACATAAAGTCATCTAGAAAACTACTCCCAAACTCCCAAAACTTGAGGTATGAGGGCTTGGTTATTCAATAGATTATAAATGTTTGTCATTGTTTAGGAGGAATGGTTACAAATTATTATTTGCCATGGTTAAAAAAAGTCTAAAGCATGATTTCTTGGTAGCAGCATTGTCTCAGGTGAGCTCTATTTGCTAGAGGCAAGCAGAAAAGTGGCTCTTCTAAGAGAGGCTTCCTGACTTAGTGTTAGCAGCAAAAACCTTGCAGCTCTTTAAACAGGACCACTGGTATGCTTCTTGGTGGTGGCATGTACCTAAAAACTCCACAGAGTTGTGGAAAAAAAACATGGCTCCCACCAGTACCTCTGCCATGAAGCTAGGCTCTCAGAAAGCCAAGGAGTAGGCTGATCCAGCTACCAAAGATGCAGCTTTAGTCCTAGCCATATCACTTAGCAAATTAAAAACTTGTGTAGTGAGAAAAAAAGAGATATACAATAAAGACAGATTTGGAAAAAAACTCTATATGGTTTACAGTGTGTTTAAAAATATATGTACGATTGAGAAAGAAAGGAAAAAAGATAGAGAAAGTTTGACCTGAAGAAAGACATTCATGGATCTAAGACATACATGGATCTAATCTACATGGGAAGTAGACAAAGACAAGAGCTCCTGAGTAAATTGGGACCATGGGGACCATGGGAGAGGATTGAAGGGGAGGGGAGAGGAAGGGAGGGAGAAAATAAAAATGTATAACTCAATAAAAATCAATTACAAAAGAAAAAATGAGAGTAGTTGGGTGTAGTGGCATATGCCTTTAATCCAAGCACTTGGGAGGACAGAGGCAGGCAGATCTCTGTGAGTTCAAGGGCAGCCTGGTCTACAGAGTGAGATCCAGGACAGCCAAAGATACACAGATACAAAGATAATTTTCCTTTTGTCTCCAAAAAAATAAAAATAAAAATAAAAGAAATAGAATAAAAAAGACATGTAAAGATAAAAAATACACAGGAGTCTGAATACTGTATATTATTATGTTGTCTTTGAATTGTTTGACTCCTGAGGAAAGAGCAACAGTTGCTAAAAGACATTTGATTATAAATGCTGCTAGATTAATCCAACATATATATATTGAAAATGCTTTGACTTCAAAATTTAAGTCAAAAGATAAGTTACTTTGGAGAAGAGGTTTTGCTTTTGTTTCCACAGAAAATGAGAAGCTGTGGATTCATTCTGGGGGGGGGGGGCAGTTTCATCAAGAAGGATCCCCTGAAAAATCTTCAATGGAAACCGATGGCCCAGATGATCCAATGTTTCAGAGCACCTCTGTTGCAGTTTCCTCTGAGTTCTACATCCAGAACAGCCTCAAAACTGCTGGCTGAGATGATCCAGGCTCACATAATCCAGTCAGTACTTGACCGTAATCCTAATTGTTCTTAAGGTCCCTGTAAGATTATTGGTGATCCCATCAGCAGGAAGTAGCCTAGAAAACAATGCCTATATTCCTCCAAAATGGATTATGGATGTTTGTTTTTGTTTAGCTTGTTGGTTACAAGTTGTTTTGGATGATGGTAAGGAAAAAAGCTAAACAAAGGAGATTCAGAGCTCTTGTTTTGAAAAGAAAACAAAGGGAAGTACTGTGGGCTAATGCTCTTGTACCTTGTAAAGATTTTTGTCATTCATATTGGTTTATTAAGGCCCTGATTGGCCAGGAGCCAGAGAAGTATAGATGGGGTGACCTGACTAGAACAACTCTGGGAAAAAGAAAGACTCAGTCTATAATCACTACCCAGACCCAGAGGAAGCAAGATGAAAATTCTACACTGAGAAATGATACCAAACCATGTGACTAAGCATAGATAAGGATTATGGTTTGATTTAAGTTGTAAGGGCTAGCTAATAATAAGCCTGAACTAATAGAACAGTATATAATTAATATAAGCTTCTTTGTATTTCTTTGGGACTGAATGGCTGTGGGACCAGCTGGGACAGAAACTTCCATCTGCACTCCTCTCCTGAGTATTATAGGGCTTCCTCCTTCTTCCAGGAGGAAATGCAGCAATTTGATTATAACATAATTCATTATATATAATCATGAATTTAAAAAAGCACCATTGTCTAAAAAATGCTGATCTACCCATACCCTGTTTTATCTTTACTGTTATGAAAATAAGTAGGAGGTTCTCAGTTGTGACTCCTCCTATGGCTCTAATATTATATTTAAGACAAGATACTTGCACATGGGAATCATTTGATCTTAGCTGAATAGTATCAGGCACCCAAAGAAAAGGGGACAAACAAACTTTGTTAACCTTGAGTTCATGTTTCATGTTTGTATTTACACATGACATTACACCACCAGGCTTATCAACTCATCGATGTGTTTTGCAGTTACAAGTTAACTTCTTGGTTGATTCAGCTTTGCATAAAAGCATGAAAATTTGTGAAGAATGATAGATGTCAAAAGTCTTCTATTTCAGCGAAATGTCTGTGAAACAGATTTCAGTTTTTCTGTTGATTCAGCTGATATGCTCCTTTAGACTTGGAACTTGTGGAAAAGTACTGGTGTGGCCCACAGAATACAGCCATTGGATAAATATAAAAGTAATTGTGGATGAACTTGTGCGGAGAGGTCATGAAGTGACTGTTTTGACATCTTCAGCTTCCATCCTTATTGATCCTAACAGTGACTCTTCTATTAATTTTGAGATTTACCCTGTACCTGTGAGTAAAGAGGAGCTTCTATATACGTTTCAATCATGGATAGCTGAATGGACACATGACTTTCAAAAATACCCCTTTTGGACATTTTACTCAAAGTTGGAAGAAGTCTTTAGTAACTATTCTGATGTCATTGAAAGCTTTTGCAAAGCTTTAGTTTGGAACAAGAGTCTTATGAAAAAACTCCAAGAATCTAAGTTTGATGTCATTCTTGCTGATGCTATTGGTCCCTGTGGTGAGCTGCTGGCCGAACTGCTTAAGACACCTCTAGTGTACAGTCTCCGCTTCAGTCCTGGATACAACATTGAAAAGTACAGCGGGGGTCTTACACTCCCTCCTTCCTATGTGCCTGTGGTTCTCTCGGAATTTAGTGACCACATGACATTTGTGGAAAGGGTGAAGAATATGTTGCAAGTGCTGTACTTTGACTTTTGGTTTCAAACATTTAAAGAGAAGTCCTGGAGTCAGTTTTACAGTGAAGCCCTAGGTAAACTGTCTTTCACTGCTATACTGAAATCCTGGCTTGTTACATCTTTGAATATGAGTGGGGGGGGGGAATATAAACTCATAGAATGTGGTTGCTAATTGTAAGTTGATAAAGTAAAATAGCCTCCAAACAAGGTAGGCCAGCTGTAGAGTTGTTCAGGACACTCCAGAAATTACTAACTTTGCAAACTGAAACAAAGATTTCTCTTGGTATCATTTTATTCTATGTTTGTCTTAGTGTAAGAAACTCTAGGTTTCATTGAATGCTTTAGTGACTGTAAATATATACACTAAGGATAAATAATTCACTTCTATGAATATCTATGTAGCACTGAAGAAAATATGTTCCTTTATAAAAGTTACTTCACTTACAAATTAAAACATTTATCTAGAATATCATGAAAGGTAGAGTTTAAGTCTTCTTAGATGCATAAAACTTATGAATTAGAGCTTAAAATTTTGCTACAAAATGAGGATATTTTTATTGTTTTAATACCTATACATTAAATAGAAATAGCATCCAAATTAAGACCAAAAATAACTTAAATGTTAATTTTTAATGGAAAATATCAAGATGTGACTTTCACACATACAACTGTTAGTATTGCTAGTGCCTTATGATGAACCCAGTATAGCAGGAGTTAAAAGGAATTTAGTCACACGTTACAGATTATCACAGTGCATTTGAAGAAACAAAGATCAAGAAACTAGCTTAAAAAATCTGTAAAGGACAAGTAAAATATTTTAAATTGTTGTCAACTTTATTTCAACTTATCTCCAGAAATCACATGCTATATACCAAACAAAATCCTTTTATCATTGTATATTTTTACTTGTTTTTGTGATGTAGGGAGACCCACAACATTATCTGAGATGATCGGAAAAGCAGATATATGGCTCATTCGAACCTATTGGGATTTGCAATTTCCCCACCCATTTCTACCTAACTTTGACTTTGTTGGAGGACTCCACTGCAAACCAGCCAAACCATTGCCTAAGGTAACCCTATGTTGTTTCCTTTGATAAATTGCTTTGTCTTTTTCACAGAAACAATTCTACACCACTTTTCAAGATGTTTGGTTTCATGAGAGATATAAAAAGTGGATTAGAACGCTCTGCGAATTGACATATACATTATTTTGATACTTTAACACATGTCTCTGTCTCACTACTGTTAAAAATGTCAAATCCTTGTAGAATGTGGTCAGTGACTTAAGGACATTTACGTAACTCATAAAAAGGAATTTGTACTCTATTCAAGAACATAGAATAAATGCCAAAGACATATGTTGAAAACCTAAAAAACAATAATAAATTTCTCTAACAGAGAGAATTTATATTCTACCTGAACAGATTATAAGCATGAAAAAATATATACAGTATAATAAATGTTGTGTATTGTGTTATCAGAGAGGGACAGATATGTTGAAGAAATATTCAAAAGAGATCACAAGAACTGTCCTAAAATCCTTGCATAGCTACAGGGACCTGGCCGGTGTACAGGGTTAGATGAAAGGATGAAAGGGAGAAGGATAAAAGCCTACAGACAATTGCAAGAACTGTTGTCAAAAACTTCACACTCAGCTAAGCAGGAAGGTAGTGAGGCAGACAATGTTGGAAAGCTACATCTAGGAGTATCCCACATGCCCTCTTGTCTGTCTCCACTTTGTTATAGTCTTTCTACATTGACATTTTGCTGGTGGTTTGTTTTTGTCTTTGTAGTTTCCACTTATAAAGGGAAACAAGGCTTCTGTTTCTGAGTCTGGCTTATTGATTAACATGGTATCCTCTAATTAATAGCTATTTTCCTGAAAATTATACAGTCCTAATATTTTTACTATCTGGGTAAAACACAATTATGTATATATACTAACACTCGTTTACACATTTGTCATTTGAAGACTATTTATGCTAGTTCTATATTTGAGCATTGTGAATAGTGGTATAATAAACATGGTTATGTGGACTTTTTGCCCTTATGACTATTTCTCTCAGATCTATCATCCAAGAATGGCATAACTTAACCGTCTGTTTAGATCAAATGTTATTTGTATGAAGAATCTTATGTCCTTCATATTGGTATCATTTCACAATCCTATCTACAATAAATATATGAATTCTTGATTTCCATAATGTCTGTGTGAGTATTTGCTATTGTTTTAATTTTTGTAACTTTCATGCTAGCTAGATTATGATGGACAATCAACATATTTTGAGTTTCATTTTCCTAATAGCTAAAACTATTAAAATTTTTTCATGTAATTATAGGCTACTTATAAAAATGTAATTATTTCTCTGCTGAGAAATATCTCGCTTGGATCATTTGTCTATGTTGAATGAATTCTTTTTCTTTTGATGTTTAGAGTTTTTAAATTCATCTACACTCTGGGCATGTTTTAGATTTTTCTCCCAGTTTTTAAAGAGTCTCTTCATTTTGATGATATTTTTCTGTGTTGTTCAGAAGCTTTTCCTATGGAGTAGTCTCATTTGTTAATTCCCAATTTATTTCCTGGGCTGATGGGGTTCTAATCAATAAATTACTGTCTTTTTCAATGTCCTGGAGTTTTCTTAAAGGGATTTGAACTTTTAGTTCCAATTTTCATCCAATTTGAGTAAAATTCTCAGAGTGAGAGAGGATTCTATTTTCAACTTGTTTGTGCAGGTAAATGCAATTTTCTGTAACATTCTTTAAAAGGGCTATCTCCAAGTTGTATGTACAATTTGAACTCATTTGTCAGAATTATAGAAGAGTTGTAAGCTTATTTCTCTTATTCGGTTTATATGTTTGTTTTCTTTTTACTGGCTACTTAAAGAATTTTATACAGGTTTTTTTTTTGGGGGGGGATCATATTCAGTTCTCCCAACTTCTCCCAAATCCACCTTTCATCTTTACCCAATCTGATTGTATGTTTTTTTTTCTTTTTTACACCCTTCTAGTCAAATTTGTACTTCTTATGTACTCTTGCATGTATGACCTTCTACTTGGAGGTCATCAGCATACTAAGGGCAATATTATTTTAAAAAAATGACACCATCTCACCCAGCAGCCATCAATTGCTAGTAATTCCTTAACTAAGGGTAGAAATTCATGTCTACCTCTCCTTTCCATGCTATAATCTTGTCTTGCTTGAACTTGCACAGGACTTATGTATGCTGAGAGAGAGAGAGAGAGAGAGAGAGAGAGAGAGAGAGAGAGAGAGCAATCACAGAAATAAAAATAAAAGCAGTGAACTAATAATCAATAAAACCAAAAATGCCCAAGAAAAACAAATTGGGGGGGGGGGGGGCTGGAGAGACGGCTCAGTGGTTAAGAGCATTGCCTGTTCTTCCAAAGGTCCTGAGTTCAATTCCCAGCAACCACATGGTGGTTCACAACCATCTGTAATGAGGTCTGGTGCCCTCTTCTGGCCTGCAGACATACACACAGACAGAATATTCTATGCATAATAAATAAATATTTAAAAAAAAACAAATTGAAAGACAAAGCCAGCAAAAGAAAAAAATCATGTGGTTTATTTTCTGTTGACCAAATGGTTTCTGCTCTGGGATATGGATGATTTACTCAGTGACACTCCATTGGAGAGAGCTGTCTTCTCCCCATTTGCTGTCAGGTGTCAATTACAAATAACTTCTTAGTTAGAAATGGAAGTCCATGTCCATTTTCATCTATCAGTGCTGGAACCTCATCTGGCTTGAACCTGTGCAGGTCTTATGCATGTTGCCATAATCTCTGGAGTTTATATGTTCATCACTCTTACTGTGCCTGGAAGACACTGGGAAATCATCCATCCCTTCTGGCTTTTACAATATTTCTGCTTCCTCTTTGTGTGATCTTTCCTAATGATCATCTAAATTTCAGTGACATTTCTAGCAACATTACTCTTTTATCTCTAATTTACTTATTTTGGTCATTTGCGCTATAGTACAAACGTACTCTCGACAAATATTGAGTATCAAAGCAATGGAAATCTTAAAGTAACTCTAGTTATTACATTATTTCCTCTCACAAAGTCTGTCTTAGTCCTTTAGACAATGCTTCCTAAGCTGTTATTCATTTGTGGTGTCACATCTTTCTTTGTAGGAAATGGAAGACTTTGTTCAGAGTTCTGGAGAACATGGTATTGTGGTGTTTTCTCTGGGTTCAATGGTTAAAAACATATCATCTGAAATGGCCAATATAGTTGCATCTGCTCTTGCCCAGATCCCACAAAAGGTGAGATAAGTCTACTGAATGCTGAAAGGATTTAGAAGGGAAAATTTCTGTGTGAAAATTAAAAAGAGGAAATAAAACAATGAGAAATATTATCTTGGAGCTGAAGAGATGACTTAGGGGCTAAGAACACTGGATCTTCTTCCAGAGAGCCTGAGTTTGATTTCTAGCACTTATATAGTAGCTCACACCTGTCCCCCACTCAAGTTCCAGGGGATCTAAATGCTCTTCAGATCTCCACAAGGCATGTTTTATAATGCACAGAATTACATGCAGGCAAAACACCCAAATACATAAGATGATACAAAAATGTTTGTAATGAAAGAGGAGGGGGGAAGATCTTCCCAATGGCTGATGTAGGAAACATTTTTTTTAAAGGGGTGAAAATAGTTCCTGCCCTGAAACAAGCCCAGGATTATAAAATTATAAATGTATCTACAGGAACTCTGCTTCTAGCACATCAGGTGAACATTCTTTCTCGTTGGGGAAAGAGAAAGGAATTCACGGTGAATTCAGGAATAAGTCAGTATTGGCACAGGAAGAATCTAGCAGCTCCTGACTCACTTTCTGAAAGCATCCATCTTTGGCTGTTTGTGAGCAACATTTACCCTATTATTCGATAATGATTTTTCCTGTTCATCAAGATATTTTTATGCAGACATAATTTCTTTTCTTTTATCAAACACAGAGCATATATTAGGTGAAGACAGACAATTTATATTCCAGTTTGTGGGGGTAACTTGTATTTCAGTACTCAGGTACTGGACATGAAATTATTTAGAGCAATAGAAACCATGCTTAAAATTTTCCTATTAATATTTTTCCTTGGGTAGTCCTTAAAGATTCATCTGAAACTAAGTAAATACACTTCCTAGTAATAAAAAATTATTCATCATAGTAGTAAATTATGTCAATATGATATTTTACGCATCAAGCTAAACCTATTATAATGAATAGTATAAGGAAGATGGGAATATTGGTAAAATTATGTGTTCATGACTCAAAAGGATATAAATTAATATTGAATTTGTGAAATAAGACCTAGGATTGTACATACTATATACATAATCATAAATTATTACTAATTGTCTATAGTTTTCCCAATCAGAATTATATTAATTTACTAAAAATTCATGTAGGCTTAAATTTGTCATTAATCATCAAACCTGTATAAATTAATATGATTAAATATGATGCTCAAGTTATTATAAAGCTGTGTACAGAAAATGTATTATTTATTTCTGTCTTTTAACATCTCATACTATTTTAAAATCCCCTCTTAATTTCATCAGCAATCTTCTGAATAATATTCAACTGAATAATCTCCTTACTTCTCCAGAATCAAAATATACCAAGGAGTTGGAATTTCTATAATTCAATAAGGTATTTTCTATGTGTAACAGGTTCTGTGGAGATTCGATGGTAAGAAACCAGACACCTTAGCATCCAATACTCGGTTGTACAAGTGGATCCCCCAGAATGACCTTCTTGGTAAGGCAAAGGTCAATAAAGAAAAAGAACAACAGATATTGAAGATAGTAAAAAACCAAACATTTATATTTATTTCCATAAATATAAAATGGAAAAGAACTGCCTATAAATGTTACCATTTTGTTATTCAAAATCATCCTCTCTATGTCTAGAATCTGAGTATCTTAACTTCAGCTATAATAACTACCCTTAGAATCATCCAGAGTCTGTATGAATTTCCTCTTTGTCTTCTATGTCTTCATTTTTCATTATCTTTTGTTCTTCTACAGAAATATTTCAAATGCCACTGAGAATATAAGCCCTTCCTGTTTCAACACTGACTTTGCATTTTCTGTGCAAACAAATGTACTTACTATCTATACCACAAAGTGTGTAGTGGGAATTTTAATTGGTCTTATTAATAAAAATTTAGAGTAATCTATCAGAGGTGAAAACTGAAGGATCAGAGAACCAGAGCATCCAGCCACTAAAGTTCTTACTTCTACCAATTCTCAGACTGAAGGGACGATCTTGTCTCCATGCATCCTCAGACTGCATGCTCAGACTCAGACTGAATCCTCAGACTGCCTCTCAGATCCTCTCTCCTCCCACCTTTTATTCCTTCCTCCAGCCAGCCATATCCCTTCCTGTCTACCCTCCCTAGTGTTGAGTTTAGAGGCATGTGACTCCCGAGTGCTGGGATTAAAGGTCTGTGCCACCACTGTCTGGCCTCTCTGTCTAACTAGTGACTTAGCTCCACACTCTGATCTTCAGGCATGCTTTATTTGTTAGATTACAAACAAATATCACTACAAAAGGGCAAATGTATTTCATAAAAACTATAGATTGATCAGCCTTAGATTACACTATTCACCATCCTAGTGACTATACACTACACATACCAGACCCACTGTCACAACTATTTCTATATACATAGTCTAATTGATTTTTGAGTTTTAGTGTAATATTTTAATAAAAATTTTGCACAATATATTTTAGTCAAATTAAACCATCAACTCCATTTACCTTAATTCATCTCAGATCTATCCTCTTTCTCCCACTCAACCACATTTTTTCTTTCTTCTTGGTTGTTATTATTGCATCTGTACATACAAATAAATATACAAATACAAAATTCTGAGTAAATTCAGTATTCCTGCTATATTTTTAGACACACCATTTGGTTTTGAATAACAAAATTGGGGTCATACCTGGGGAAAAATGAGTCTCAGCAGTTATTAAGGGTCTGTGCCTCTTTATTTGGGAACAAGGCACTGTGAAACAAGGCATGTCAACTGTTGTATTCAATGTACTGATCTTTTTTCTGCCACCATAATGTTGAGATTCAATGGTTGCAGTCTCCCTGTACTATATGAAGACTCAATCTCAGAGTAGACATTCTTGTCCTATGATTCTTACACTATTTCCACCCCCTCTCCTGAAATATTCTCTGAACGGTACATATAGGAGGGTTGTATTATAGATGCATTATTTGGAGATTTATGCCTCAAGGTCAGTTGTTCTTTTCATTTTGACAAATTTGGCTTTCTAGAATGATCTTTGTCTGCTGCAAAAATAAGATTCTTTGATTGGAGCTGAGAACTACACTTAAATTTGGGTATAAGGAAAAGGATTTCAAATGCAATTAGAAATTACACTTGAAAAAGTGAGTTCTTCTCTATGGTCAGAACCTCAGCGGAAACTCATACCTGGTAGTATAAAACTAACCCCATGAACTTTTTCCCATTGGATTTTTTTACCTACAATCTTCCTTTCGTTTTCTTATATGACAATCTTGTTTTCATTTTTGCACATCTTAAGACACATAGTACTTCTTCCAAATAATCTTCTCTTACCTCTCCAGCTCACTGAAGAGCTTCTTACTAAGAAAGCCCACAGCAGTTTCACTGCAAATTTGTGGCTATAATAATATGTTTTCTGTGAGAACAGCCCCCTCTGAACCCTTATCTTTCATTTCCCTTTCACATTTTAATAAATAATTGTGCAAAAATAATTCTAATTGTAGGTCATCCAAAAACTAAAGCTTTTATAGCTCATGGTGGAACTAACGGCATCTATGAAGCAATCTATCATGGCATTCCTATTGTTGGTATTCCATTGTTTGCGGATCAACCTGATAATATTAACCACATGGTGGCCAAAGGAGCAGCAATTAGAGTAGACTTCAGCACATTGTCAACTACAAAGCTTCTTACTGCCTTGAGGACTGTCATTAATGACCCTTCGTGAGTATAACTATTTTTGATTTGAGTTTTCTTTTTTGAGTTAGGTTATAACACCAAGACTGGCCTTGAACTCATAGAGATCTTCCTGCTTTATCCTACTGAGTTCTGGGATTTAAAACATGTGTCATTATGCTTGGTATATATAACTACTTCCATTAAAATATTTGGAAATATTCTTATCATAATCATATTTATTTTAAGCCCAGTTGAAAGACAATAACCGTGAAAACCTCCCAATCAATTATTTTGCATATCTGAAATATATGATTATTTTCAACAATGATGAGTCTGAAATATTCTGTATATATAAATAATGTTTCAAATATACATCTATTGGTTGCAAGGACACTGTAAACACGACAGAATATATATAATAAAGTAACTATGAACTTTAAAATTAATGAAAGAATGTTTAAATATTTACCCATATTTTCTGAAGCTGTAAAACTTTTGGTGAAATTTTATTTTATTTCATTATTGTTTTTTTAACAGGATCTCATTTTGTAGTACTAAGATGGCCTCATAGTCAGAGAGATCCTCTTGTCTCTGCCACCCAAGTGCTCAAACAAAAGACATGTTCTACCAACCCTGCAATAGACGCTGTGGTGACTAGTTGTGACAAAATGTGTTCTAAATTCAATTATATGACATCTCAAAAACCCTTAGAATAGTTTAGGTCATTTTATCACTCTAAAATAAATATGAGTCTCACTGAACACATAGCCAACATCTAAGGCTTCTAAGCCAGTGGTGTCAACAAAGGAACCTAAGTTAGTTGAAAGTTATGTTAAGCCCTGGACAATGAGATAAAAGCAACCATACTGGAATGACAGTCAATAATAAATTTGTAACATACCCAGGGAACATCACTGGAAGGTTCAAGGCTTACCAGAAGATAGATGTACCTAATCAGAAAGTCAAGAGGTCAAACAATAAGAGAAAATGCTGCTGGTTCCTACATACACAGTCTCCAAGTCCAGGAACAGGATTAGACTTATTTTTTCATTTTGTTGAGAATTCTGGTGCAAGTTCTATGCAAAGAGGAATCATATTTCTAATGTTTTCAAAATATGAATCTACATGCAGATTGAAATTAGGAAACAGAGATAGGAGAGGAGAAGCTGAAGCAAGAGAGAAGATAAACAACGGGACACATTGTCTCTGTAACACACTTGTAAGACAGTTGTAAGACAATTCTATGTATACTTCACTTAACGACCTAATAGCAAATGTTACATGTTCCTCACACAAAAAAGATTTGCATCTCATTGCTAATTTTCTCTTGCCAGTTTGGAAAATATTGCTGAACTGTAAAAACACCGATTAAAAATAAACATTTTATGGGGAATAAAGCAAAATCAGAGCCAGCATTTGTAACTGAGGTGCTGGTGCATGCAGGCAATCCCATCAGTTGGAAGGTGGATAGAGAAGTTCATTAAGTGGTCCAAGGTCAGTGTAATCTACACACCAAGTTCAGAGCAAACTAGTACTACATGAGACTATCTCAATAGTCCTCCATGCCACCTCATAAAGCAGAAAAATCTGTGCTTAATTTTGAGCCACTGTGGGTATTTATTTTGCAAATCAGCAAATGTTAGTGAGCTCTGCAAATTAGTTTCATTTTGATTTAGTTGTATACATTGTCCCTTCAGGTACAAAGAGAATGCCATGAGACTGTCAAGAATCCAACATGATCAACCCATGAAGCCTCTGGACAGAGCCGTCTTCTGGATTGAGTATGCCATGCGCCACAAAGGAGCCAAGCACCTTCGCCCAGCACTCCATGACCTCGCCTGGTTCCAATACCATTCTCTGGATGTGATTGGGTTCCTGTTGGCCTGTGTGGCAGCTGTGGTATTCATCATCACAAAATGTTGCCTCTTTTGTTGCCGTAAGACTGGCAACAAGGGTAAAAAGAATAAAAAAGAATAGCTGCATTGAAGCCAGGAGAATCTTGAGAGATGGGCCTCTCGCGGCTGCTTCCAGCAAGAAGAGGCTGTGATAGCAAATCATTTCCCTCTAAAACAAGACAGTTTCATGGCATCACTAAAGATTGCTTTCATGTATTTCATATGTTTAAGACAGTGAAAGATTTCATGTCAAATATACACTAGGGGATTGTGTAAACAAAATCACATGTTCTGTTTAGAGTGCTTTGATGTAACTGAGGAGCTATCCTCAACAACCCTCATTGAGCTTACCTGTGGTTTGCAAAATTCTCATGGGCAGAAAATGTATCTAAATACCAGATATGTTCACACATGCCAAGCCTTCTCTGCCTTTGTTTGCTGAACAATTTCCTTTCTTGTTTTTACTATGCATAAAGAATAGTGTTCAGATTACAGACTTTTGAAATAGACTAACTTGTCTTTGCAAAAGGAAAGCCATTGCTTCTGGTTATTTTTCGGTACACAGACCTCACATCCTTTATTTCCTAAAGGACCTGTGATGGAGGTCACCCTCCTCCAAGCAGAGGTATTTCTCCGTGGCATTCAAACAAGCATTCCTACCTGCTTCTGCTAAATTCTACTACTTGGGAGGTTGTGAACTTGACAAGATTATTTTTTCACTTTCCATCGTATCCCTTAGTCACAACTGACCTCGACACTATCACTCTAATTTCAGTCTTTTACATAGATTTGAGCTGTCAAAAGTTCCATTTCCTCTCATTTATGGAGAACACATGGAAGACAAGACCACAATGATTTAAGTTGCATCATCACTTACCAAATATTATATTCCAAATTTAAAATTACCACACAGATTCACAATTTCTTCTGTTGATTTTGTTTAATTTATTCATTCAGAATTTCTTCCTTAGACTCAGTGAAACATTAAATTCATCCTTCATGACCATATTCCTACCTCCCACCGGGTGTCACCTAATAGGTCCCAGTTCCAAAATTCTGTTCAATTATTTTATTTTTGATAACCCAGTAAATCCAATTAGTATTGTCTATAGATGCATGCATGCATTCATGGGAGGGAACATTGCTGAATCATGGCCAATGAGCCAGTGTCTGCCAACCCCCATAATAATGACTTATCATGTCCTAGAATCTGATTGCCAATAACTCTTTATTTACAGGTGGAGTATTAAGAGCTCCTCTCCATTTATTATGGAATTTTGGTCTCCTGATTTTATGTCAGTCCTGTAAAGCTGACAGATTCTTTTGGTTTATGACATGTCAAGAAGGAAGTATTCCACAGCACTTCTCCTCAACATCGGCTTCTTAACGTTATTTCCCCATTTTTCCACAGTATTCCTTGAGCCTTAGCATGGGTCTGATCATTCTCAATCATTTGAGTTGTAAGTTGTAAGTGTACATTACAGATTGGTTCCCATTAAAACAAAAACCTCTCAAACAAAGGCTGAGAACAACCCAAATCAACGGCTATTAAAATAAGCCTTTAGAAGGTAATTTGTTAACATGATCTTTAGCAAAACAGCAATAGTAGGTTCCAAGCTAGAATTGTCTTGACTTTTAATCAGGTTTATGGTGTCAGGTACATTCCAGTGGAGTGGGGCTAAAATCCAATTAGAAAGTAGAGAGTTATCCATCTAGTTAGCTTCAGTTGTTAACTTGACAAAGCCTAGAATCATTCAAGAGAAATGTCTGCTCTATTGGCAAGTCTGTAGGAATAGATACGGATTGATGGAGGATGGTCCAGTTCACAGAGCTGACCTAATATAGGAGGGACCATCCCTGTGGTCCTGTCCACAGCAGGTTGAGCCCTCCTACATCATGATGTTCCTGCATTGAATAAGGAAGCTAAGTAAGGATGAGTCTGGGACTCACACAACTCCAACTTTATCTGGAGGTCTTATCAGCTACTGCTCTGATATAGTCATGTATCATCATACCACCATCAGATTTCATTTCTATTCCAGTTAGATAAAAATCCAGGAATCATAAACAACAGGAATAAAACAGCAAATGATACTCAGTTCATACCATTGTGAAAGCCTATTTCACTCATTTGCATTTCCAGTGACAGCTCACACCCACCATATATTATGCTCACCCTGGACAGAGATCATGTCTTCTTTAGATATCCCTACTTCACAGAACAATGTGATACTCAGGAAATAGTTTTATAATGAATTTAATAATCTTTTCTATAATCTGGGTATATTTGATAAGTTTCTCATGAGTAGAATAAAATTCTAAATGTAAAAACAATACTATCCTAATCTAAGATTGTTTAGATATAACTTGATAGTGCTGTTCTAGAAATGGAAAGAATGAATCAAGATGTAGTATGATTTCTGTATGCAGATGACATGAATTTATTAAGAAACACCAGGTTAGTCTATCTTATGACCCTGATCATAGATAAAGATTACCTTTATGATATAAAAAGAGTCTCTAAGATGTCAAACCCCGGTCAAATACTCCATAGCTGAACCTCCAGAGAAAAAGTTCATGCTGGCAGTGTGGCCCAGAAAGCCGTGTTTTCAAACCGTGTGGGTTTTTTTCTGCTAAAGCTGAATCAGGAAAACTTTTCTTAAAGGAGCTGCTTCACACTGACAGAAAAACAGCAAGAAGCGGTCTTAAACTCTGTATTTTTGTGTCTAGATTTCCTTTTCAAACTCTCTCAGGTTTTAAGTGGATTTATCTGGCCATGTTAGAACCAATTTGTTGTAGGAAAGGTGCTTGATGGTTCTCAGGTACACGGCTAGCTTAGCCCTGAAATAAACACACAGAAACTATATTCATTAAATAACTGCTTGGCCCATTAGCTCTAGCATCTTATTGGCTAACTCTTACATTTTAATTTAACACATCTCCATTAATCTGTGTATCATCATGCGGCAGTGGCTCACCGACAGTGTTTCAGCATGTCTTACTCTGGCAGCGTATCCATGGCATCTCTGACTCCACTCTTCTTTCTCCCAGCATTCAGTCCAGTCCACCCCACCTACCTAAGTTTGGCATCTCTGACTCCACTCTTCTTTCTCCCAGCATTCAGTCCAGTCCACCCCACCTACCTAAGTTCTGCCCTATCAACAGGCCAAAGCAGTTTCTTTATTCATTAATGGTAATCACAGCACATAGAGGGGAATCCCACATCATTATGATTAGCTTTTAAAATCTTAATACAAAAGAGTGGAAACAATAGTTATCACTATGTAAAGAAGACAGCAGAGTAAGCTACCAGAATAAACTACAAGAAGCCAAGTCTCCAGATAAGAGCAAAACAAAGAAAATCTGTATCTAGCACATGATGTGACTCCACATGTTGCAGAAAAATAATGGTTTGTGCAGTGCAGAACCAAAAAAAAAAAAAAAAGAATGAACCTACTGCCATCCTAATCCCCAAAATAATCACACATTCTGAAATGGACTCCTGCAGTGGTGAGCACTGGATTTCAAAACAGTCAAGAGTACTTCTGCTCCAATATAAGCTGAGGTGAAATTAATTAGATTTTATCAACAACAAGAAGGAAATCCTGTATGAAAAGCACATGCACTGAAATTAGAAACAATCTTACTGCCGATATAGAGCTGAGCCCTTCATCCATAAACTGTTCACATAATCAGAGTTCAGAAGCAGCAGACACCTTATTTAGTGAGAATAAAGTGAACCCTGTGACAATATTTCTGTCATACCTGTAGAGAATACTGATCCTCAAAAGAATGGAAAGTTAATTATGATCAGGTTGACCAGGAAGCATCAGTAGTGGATAAGGATGGAAAAGAAGAATATCTACAGCTACTACAGAATGTCCTACAAAAGAGAGATGAGAAAGCTGATCAATCAAGAGCCCCTGCTCCTTCCACACCCAAGGCAGACTGTGATCCCCTGTGTCTAAACACCAGGGCAATACAACCAAGCTGATGCAAGGAATAAATGAAATAAGGAACAGAGCTGAAGCTGCCCAAGTGAGCTCCCCATAGGTTTGCAAACAGATTATGCCAGAGTCCCCAAGTTACAGAACAGAGCTATAAAGACAGCAAAGACCAAAAGAAATCTTTGCTTACAAGGGTTAAAAGAACACTGATTGTTCACAGGCAGAAACATGTCTGATAACACACAGAGAATCCATACGGAGAGACTAGTACTGGGGAGCAGAGTCAGCAAGAAAATCACGCAGACTTCTTTTCAGTGGGATAAAAGCTACTTTTAAAATTTCTTTTTGTTGCTTTTTCTACTCTATTCTTTTTTCATTTTGTTCTTCTACCATGATGTCTCTCTTCTTTCTCTTTCCTGATGATTTCCTTTCCTTTTTCTGATGCTTTCCTTCTACATCCTGACTTCTATCTTCATCTTTCCTGGTATTTTCCTGTCTTCTTTACTTTTTCCTTTACAGCTTTTATGCTGCAGCAGAATCTTTCAAACAATATAAAAGTTATGGTGTGGTTACATTCTATTTATTTATTTTTAATTATTTTTTAAAAAAACTATCTTTTTACACTTTACATACAAATCCCAGTTCCCACCCCTCCCCTCCTCTCTTTCCCTCCACCTTCCCCCCCATCCCACCCACCATCCACTTCTCAAAGAGAGTAAGGCTTCCCACAGGGACTCAACAAAGTTTAGCACATTGTTTTGAGGCATGACCAAGGTCCTGCCTACTATATCTAGACTAAGCAAGGTATCCCTCCAAAAATAATAGATTACAAAAAGCCGGAACAAGCAGTCAGGATAAATCCTGATCTCACTGCCAGTGGCCTTACCATCGGCCTCAGCCATACAATTATCACCCACATTCAGAGGGCCTAGTTTGGTCCTATGCTGGTTCCCTCGCTCTCATTCTGGAGTTTTTGGGCTTCCATTAGCTCAGTTAAGCTGGTTATATTCTATTTTATAAATGAATGATTATGATTAATAAAAGAAAAAACACCCTGTTTTAAATGTCCCTTAAAATATTAAACATTTTATGTATTATAGGTAAAAAACAAATTATCCCCAAGAACCTACATACAGTGAAATATTTACCTTTTAGACCTCTCATAGATCAGGAGCCTTTCAGCCATAACTGTTTACATACACAGTAATATTTATAAATGCCAGAAAAACAGGTTAACAGTTTCACTTTTCATATTTCAGCATTCAGGTCAATTACCTTAACTAACCATCCCCTTCTTTGTTTTCCAGTGGCATGAAGTCATCATTTAAAGCTTTGTTTAGCTATGAGGTACACCAAAACATGTGAACACATTTTCCAGTATCAAAAAGAACTTAAACCATTCCCTGGGACTTGGGTGTTTTTCTTAATCATTAAACTAAACAGTCATTTATAAAGCTCCACATGGGACACTCATAAGTTTTAGCTGTGTGACACTTCTTTATTCTTATTTTCTATCTTCTGCAGCTTTATCAGATGCTGGAGAAATACTATATCCTACCTTT